GCCCACATGTTAAAATGAAACGCATGACACTTAACAAACGACTCAAACAACTTTACTCTCTTTTTGCCAAATCTTCGAAACTAAAACTAAAACAGAAACTGAATACATATACATACTTACTTAAGCCCATATGGACATACTCATCACAAATATACGGCATCGCTAAAAAGACCCACCTACAAAAACTTCAAACGTTCCAATCAAAATTATTGCGACTCATAACAAAAGCACCTTGGTACGTGACTAACAAAACTCTACATACTGACCTCCACCTTCCAACAGTTGACCAACATATAACGACCCTATATCAACGATTTTACACAAATTTAAACGGACATAATAACAGACTTATAAGAGACATGGCCACAGCTGACATACCTCAGAACATGAACAGGAGACTAAAAAGGCGTTGGATGAGGGATCTCCTTCCTTAGACAACCTAAGTAATTGGAACAAGTTAGGGAAGAGGTACTGCTGAGTACTTTCCTTCCCCATGCCTGTCATGTCATTTTATCATTACCGCCATCACATTTGCTGATTGTTAACTTATTGTTGACAGGCGCAAATACATATTTAATAGACAAAAAAAAAAAAAAAAAAAATAATAATAATGTTTGTGACAATGAAATAATCTTAAATAAATAAATAATAACTATTATGAACAAATAAATCTTCTGGAATTACTCTTTAAATATATAATCATATTCAAAATACATACATAGTTGTATAAATATACGTGCAAAACATTTAAGGACTTCACACAGGATCACTATTAAAGGACCAAATACATAAAATCTATTTAGTATGCATAACTAGGTTTAATAAATCAAAACAACACTTACTCAGACATGAACAACGAAAATGCTGTCAGTTAAAAATAAATTTAAAAAAAAAAGTTTAGAATCATTCCTTATAAATATTTCTTTTCCTCTGCATTGATCTACGGAAACGGCAAAGGAAAATACAATAAAATAAACAAACATCACAAGTAAGAGCACAATAATTTTCACTTTCAATTGCGCTATTAGTGAAAAAAAAATTGAAATAAGCTGAATGCAAGGGAACAAGCACTCTTTATATAATACAATATATTATATTATACTCGTTATTCTGTCAAATAAGTTAAAGTAAAAAGCAGCACGCGCGCACAAAAAAAATAAATAAACTAATGTGTGATATTAGCTAATTCGTGTAATTTTAAAGAATTATTAACAAAAAGAATGAAACAGTAAAAAAACTGTTAAGATTTGGTACCAGTTACATATTTTTTCATTGCTCTGTAGTTTGATTTGTCAGAAATAAAAGTTGTATGCGTAAATGATACATTGTGTGTCAATGCGTAAATATATTAATTATGAGAAAAATAAATTAATAATTAATCATTTTTGTAATATACGAGGAAGAGTTTTAGAGAAAGATATACGTTGATTTCTCGCTCTTAAGATATTCCTGTGAGGAAATCTGGCACACACTGATGCCTCAACTATAAGATTTATCCCATTGTCTAGTACTCATTCATGTACAAATGGACGGGTATATAACATGATAATTTTCATACTTATTTTCTGTCAAGATGATAATGGGGTACTCATCCTCCTCCCGAGTTCGAAAGCTCTGATGAAGACCCTGTAGGTCGTAAAATAGGTAGCATAGGCTATAAATAAATGATACCCCAACACATTATGTGGTTGATTGTTGACCTCACTCCTTCACCAACTATTTTTTCAATTATAATTACGGTCAATCATTTCAGTTCCATCCAGAAAAATGCTAGATCATATACAATGAAAATTGTTCAAGCATTTTTGTATATTTTCTCTACTTTAAAAGTTCCTCCAAATTAAAATTACACCAAAATATGGTTCTCTCAAAACAATTGTCATACCTTTAAGATATGATCCGCATAAAAATGTGCCCACAGAGGAATTATGATGGCACGATTTGCGTGAACATTCCTGAAGAGATTACTTTGTCCTGACAGATTCTTCTAAACATTCTCGATCTTCATTGGAGGGCGTTGAGCTGTCTTGTATGTTTACAAAAAAGTTTATTATTTTTTTTTTATTTTATAAATAAATGATACTAATATGAACTAATTTACGTAATAAAATTGTGACGTCCTATGAAAGACTGTCATTTTTCAAAAGTTATGGAAAAGCCAATTTTCGGAAACATAGCTCCAATTTTAACTCAATTATAATAATTTTGTTTCTTGATTCAACATTGAACATTCTTAAATAAAACAAAATGAAACAGATTGATTTCTACCCATAGAACAAAAATTAATTTTTTATACGGTTCCTGAAAATGATAGATATCCTTCTTTGATATGAAACCACTCAATTGATTTTGGCTCTCATATGTCTAGCAGCTATTATAATCACTTTATTAAGACTTTCCGAGGAGACTCCTGACAAGAATTCCCGAGAGAAGCACTTCCTCTAATAAATTGGACCTTCAGGATCTCAATGACCCAGATCAGTTATAGCTACGATCAGAGCAGCTTACGCTGTTACCTCGTTGTGCACAATCGCTGGGCGCAAGGCGTTCGCGTGCCCAACAACTTCCTCATTGTCTACGACCCTAGTAGAGGTCGATCTCATAGAGCGAATTTAGGGACCTAATAGGCCTGGGAACTATCTCAGTCTCTTGTATGTGTTTTCCTTGCGTCACTGATTTGAGAATGGCTAAGTATGGGCTAATGTTCAAAATTATATTTTTCTTTTTAATTGAAAATTTTAAATCAATTCACAATATTATGTAAAGAGACCAGAAGTGAAACTCAAATTGCAACCAAATTTTAACCTAAAGTCTTTGCCATAACTGAGAATTTTTGAAGAAATATATAATTCCTTTATTAAGGAGTGATTAATCCTCAGCCAATAAGGCGGATCAGATCCGACAGATGCGTACGAATAAAACCACTCTGAAACATGCAATACTTCGGCTGTGAAAGCTTAGATAACCTCACTCTTGATTTTCCTCTGGTAATTGGCGAAGTAGAAGACTCAATGTCACTGTATCTTTCCTCTTGTCATCACTATTAGATTGCATTCGCAGTGCTGGGGTCACATCTGGCCCACTTTGTTTTTAGTGTAGTAGATCGGATTAGACCCATCATATTTAGTTGATTTTAAATGAAAATACTTTTTCCATATTTAAGGCAATAATACTTCCAATTTTCTTCATTTTTTTTTAATTACATTTGTCGTCTCTTACGTTTCGTGACAATTTTCCCGTCATCAGAGCAATCTTTATCTTTACTTTATTTTTTTGATGTGGCACCATTGTCAAAAATCAAATGTTTGTCACATTGATTAAAACTATTTTTTTGGTGTTACACCTCTTTATATATTCATTGATACACTCTATAAAGATGTGTAAAACCAAAAAATTGTTTTTAAAAATGTGACAAATATTTGATTTTTGACAAATGGTCCTCAATATTAACTGGTCCTCGATATAAACCTCATCAAAAAAAGAAAGTAAAGATAAAGATTGATCAGATGATGGGAAAATTGTCAATATTTATTGTTTTATTATTTTCGAATAAAATGTTTACAATAATTAATATTTTAAAACCCTGATTAACTAAACAGCTATTACTTTTCGTTTTAATTAATATTTCAAGAGATGTATTTTCGAAATCACGTTTTATTAGAATTGGAATCTTATAAAACCTCTGTTGCCAGTCATTTGAAGTATCTATTATTCTTTTCCTGTCTTCTTTTGATTTTTAATTTATTTCGCTGAAATTTTCGGAGATATCCAGAATTGCCACATCTAATTGCTCATAAACATTTCTCTCGTCAAAATTAGCTGCAGCACTTAAAAAGTGCTTTCTAATTTGCTCCGTTAATGGGCCAAAATTCGTAATATACAATTATATTATGAGAAAGCGCTTGAAAACGTCGAGATTTTTCTTTTAGTTCATTTTGTTAATATATTTTCGTACATTGTTGTTATTGTGGGCTTTGGAACCAGAATATATTAATCGTTTAAATTTAAACTTGAAGCTATCTTAAAATTCACATTGTACTGTGTTAATTCTGTGTCCTAAATACACTGTATCGGCAATAAAACCGGTTTTTATTTCTTAAAAACGTTATGCATTGTATTTCACTACTGTAAAGTCCAATGATAATATTCACTTTTGGTGTGTAGAGAAATTTAAGTCGTGTTTGTGTTTCTAAAATGAATGCACCAGTCCATTCTGTGTGACCCAGATAGAAAATAAATGATTGCTTGACCACTACAGAAAAAAAATCATACTTTCAGTGTCGTAAATAACACTCCGCAGTCCCGGTCCAAATGGCGGAAAAAAATTAAAAGTGATGATTTCAATTTTAGGTGAGGAGGAATGTTTTTCAAACTCATTCTTAAACCTAGTAATTAGAGCATAATTTACACTTATAATAAATAATAATCAGACAGAAAATTAAGAATTAGGTTTTGCTCCTTGCTTATAGAAATTACTCTGTATTACGCTATGAAAATTGATTTTCGTTAAATTTCATTAGGCGACAAATAATATGTAAACAGAAACACTTAAGGTTTCTGACATTAAAAGAGATAAATGTATAAATAAGAAAGTGCTGAACAAAATACCGTTCATTTGAATGAATTGGGACATTTGAGTAATTCAGACCGTACAAGAAATCTAAAAATTAAATTAAAAAAACTTAAACAAAAATGGTTGTGATTTCCAAACCGAATATAATAATCACTTATTTTGGAAAAATCATTCTTGAACTGTACAAACACCAAGGATTGTATCTGAAAGGTCTGGATTTTTCTAATGTAGTGGAGCAACCAGTAATGTATCACACAAAAAGGATTGACTTGAAAACTATTGTTTTAATAACAATTTTTTTAATTAAGAGTCAATACTTGGCGAATTATATGTGAAGGAAAAAACCAAACAAAAAAAAAAAAAACAGTCAAGTTTTAGAAGCGGGTTAGCAATGCTCAGTCCATCATCCTTTACTGTACGTACTCACAAGGTTTTCTGACAGATCCACAGTCAGCAATTCGAATTTCGGTTCCTAAAAAAATATTATACATTAAACGTTATGGCATTCATTCATTTTAAAAGTCTTCAAACCTTATTTAGCATTCGTTTCTTCTTTTATATTTTTTTTTTCGAATGCTGATTTCAGCAATTACCAACCTTTTTTTTATGCTTTATAGGGCAATTCAGGTATGGATGTCCGAAAAAATAAAATTTTAGTTATCTTCATGAGTAATTTGTTTTATTACAAAATATCAAGACTTTTTAAATAGAATTTAAAATATAATGGATTTTTTAAATAAACCTTCGGTACCTAATTTGTTTTCTAAAATTGAATATTAAATTATTTATTGAAAAGTAAAACGTTAAAAAACGTATAAAAACCTAGATGTAGAGATAATTCGTTTATCGGTTGTTTTTTTTCGTAATAGCCATCATGTACTCATTTGACTTACCTGCAACAAAAGAAATAAAGAAATAATTAATTTTTCTATAAAAAATAAAAATAAACTTAAAATATAAATATATTAGGGTGAACGCACCAGTTTTGGACAAGGCAATGATGGACAGCTTGGACTTTAAACGTAAATAATGAGATTTCTTGTTGATTTAAAAGTTGCATTTTTTTTTTTTTTTTTTTTTTTTTTTTTTTTTTTTTTTTTTTTTTTAGATCGAAGAACAATACCTATTGATAACTGTATGAATAAAGTTTCCAAAAAAAAAATTAAAATACCTAACGCTTTAAAATTGAAAAAATATTCAGTTATACAGATATAATCTCCATTTACAAAAAAAAAAAAACACCTTTTAGCACTAGTAATGGACATTCCGAAATTCAATTGTCTAGTAATGGACAGGGGTTCAGTACCGGCAATGGAAATACCTCAGAAAAATTCTAAAATCTCTTTTTAACTATAAAGATAAGATAAGATAAATGTTCAATATACTCTTAGCAAAACTTTTATTAGAAAGGTACTGCCTCAAGAGTAGTATAGAAACAACAATTTTTGCTAAGAGTATATTAAACATTTATCTTATCTTATCTTTATCGTTATCTTTATAGTTAAACAGATATTTTAGAATTTTTCTGAGGTATTTCCGTTGCCGGTACCGAACCCCTGTCCATTACTAGACAATTGAATTTTGGAATGTCCATCATTAATGCTAAAAGGTGTTTTTCTTGTAAATGGAGATTATATCTGTATAACTGAATATTTTTTTTAAATTTTAAAGCGTTAAATAGAAAACGGAGACCCTAGAGATTCAAAACGTCAAACGGAGAAGTTTATAACTATAATAATTACAGCTTATATTGCATAAGCCAAACAGACAAAAATTTCCTTAGCTATGTCCATTATTGGTGCGCTTATCCTAATGCTATACGATTATCTTTTTTTGTTAAGTTTTTTTTTTTAAGTTGGAAAGTAAGATTACCTAAAATTTCGGGTGACAAAGTGAAACATTTTGTCCCGCGAAACCATGTACAGTGCTTCATTAAATCTATAGTTTTAGAGTTGAAAGAAGATAAGGAAAGTGCAAATATTTCAAATTATTATACATCAGCAACCAATAGTCCAATTTTGATGATTTTTTATTTCCACTATGTATTCCATATGTTTCAAATAATCATAGACATGATCTAACAAAAAGAGTGACATTTTTCAAACTTCCTAAATTATTTTTTTTTAGAGAAGTATTTTTATATATTCAAGTTTAAAGGGTTTCAAGCAGAAGACTTAAGGCAAATATCCTCAAAATTGACACAGTCTATTTGGCGCAATGGCCTATATTGAAATTAACTGTTATGGAAGCTGCTTGCATGTTGTCCATTTAACAGCTCTAAAAAAAAAGTAACAAAATCGGTTCACCCATGTATACCAATGTCTTATAACAAATTTATTCGTTTTTCCCATCATAATAATTGGTAGGTGTATATGTATAACGTTTCTACTCGGCCACCATTCTAAAGTCTGATTGTAACGTGGAGTTTCAGGAACTATCCTTGGATGATCTCTAACTTGGGACCAATCAAAAAAATCGCTCCAGAAGTTTTGGAGAAAAGTTGGATGAAGTACAGCGCACTGCGGGCATATGGATCTTTTTTTATTGAGTTTTCGAATTTTACGTATATTGAAACGTTAATCTTCAAATTTTGAGGAATATTTTTTTTTTCTACTTAAATTCATAAATTCAAAAAGTATGGTAAAAAACAATCACATGTTTAGAAAAAAAACATTATTTATTTAGTAACATGACATTCTGTCACACGGAAAATAATTATAGTGAGCTAACAACACATTCACGTGTCATAAACAAAAAACTTAAAATAGAAAGAAGCAAAATAACAACTAAATAATAATAAAAAACGCTGCAAATTATTTCACAATGGTTTATTATTTCCAAACAACAATACATCTAAAGCAACATTACGTTCCTAGTTACAAAGAAAAATAAATAAAAGGTTATTCCAATTGTTAGACTAAACCTTTTTTTTAATCATTATTAATATGCTTTAAAAAAATAGCATTACTTCAGTATCACATTCAAAATTTAAAAACCAAACAAAGGATATAACATTTGGAGTAGAACATATGAAAAAAAAACTGGAGACAATATCTTTGCTCCTAATTGTCCGATTTTAATGTGTTTTTTTTGTTTTTTAAGAAATTCCGTAAACTTTTAAAAAACCATAACAAGTGTATACTTCTTGAGTTATTTGGAATTAAATTTTACTATCCCTCGTTACTATTTTTCTAGCTTCTTTTCGTTGAAGTATGTTATATAGATAAATTTAAAGGGCGTCAAGAAAATGAGTTTAGCGAAGTTTTATTGAAATAGGAACATTCGTTTAGGAGCTACAGTCTATAGCAACGTAGATTTTTCCTTAAAATCTTCGGGTGTCCTATGATTTTATTTCGAAATTTGAAAAAAAAATCGGTCCAGTAGTTTCGGAGAAAATGCTCGGACGGCGGACGAATTGTATTCGTTTTTCGAATTCTACGCATCCTGAAACGTGAAACCTCAAAATTTGAGAGGGGGTTAAGTTTTTGAATTTTTTGGTCGATCACAATGGTTGATTATTGAAAATAATAAATCAAAAGTATATAATATTGAACTTTTAATTATTGGCTTTAATAAAACTTTATAAGTCTTGTTTACGTAAAAGATAAAACTCGTCACCTACACACATTGAAGCAAATCTACACATTTTAAGAGAGTAGACACCTTCCTAAATTGTAAAGTAGTTAAAATAATAAGAGAGCATAATACTATAAAAATAAAACCAAACTTGAGAAAAACGGTATTTTGAAATAAACTAAACAGTTCAATTAATAATAATGGAAAGAATTTCAATTCTGATGTAGATTGAAGTATCATCAAAACTCTTGAATCGAATAACAAAAAGATTTCTTTCATTGATAATCCATTTTCAATTTTCTATCGTGCGTGATTTTGTTAGAAAACCTTTGTTTGCTGGAAGAGTGATTTTTTTTACCATACCCTTTTCAACTGTTTACACAGTTAATCTATCCCTGCACAGAATCTGCCGACAGTAAGTAGATTTGAAGACTGTTTGTTTATCTCGCGGGTACATACGATCAGACTTCTCTTAGCCAATGGTCGGCGATGCCGAATATCCACAAACTGGATCAATAAATTAGACGCAGTTTACAAACAATGTCTGGCTAGAGAGAGAAGGCGGCAGAACTGACAGGGGCACCAACCCTCCAACAGGCTGGCCACCTGCCCCCCATCTGTCCCGATGACCTATTGTCGGCCCCCGTGGCAATGCAAGGCAAATTCAATACTGACCTCTCCCCTCCGGGATGTGTTCACCACGAACAATGAGCAAATTTTTTTTCTTCTTCTTGGAGCACTAAGCTGCATCGTTCGGCGTAGTAGGAGCACAAACGATTTTGAGCGAAAAAAAAATGAAAAGCATATCTTTCTTTAGAGCAATTTTATTCCAGCTTATCCGGCCTGGGATGGGTTGAACTTAATTTCGAGTGGATCCGTGCAATGAATCTTGACCTGTCCACTCTAGAATAGGTTTGGTTGTACATATAGAACAACCCTTTCCCCTCTCTGTATACCAGAAATGGCGAGAAGGTGGTATTCGATTATATATATATATATTACATTAATTCAATACATAATACATTTTATTAAAAAAGGATCTTACGCATTAGTTTCTAGTTTCAGTTCAATTAACATTTAGTATAATTGAGGAGAAGAATGGTTGGGGTGATCAGTCAATAAAATAGTATAAATAAATAAGTATATTTATTATATTATATTTATTATTAAATATGCTATATATAGTATATTTATTAATAAATATACTTATTTATTTTTACTATTTTTTGACTGATCACCCGAACCACTCATCTCCTCAGTCAACCATCGCTACAGAACATTTAGTATAATTTTGTCTACTATTTGAACAAGCCCCTACTATTCTTAATTAATCCATTGTTGTTATTTTAAGTAACAAAAGATAAAATTAATTAATTTAATACCGAAATTAATTTTCTAGTACATTTTTTTTTTAAATGTTGTTATTAATTTCTCCTCGTACCATTGCTCAATAAAAAGTAATTTTTAAATAATAATAATAATAATCAGTAAATTAATTAAACGAAAATGAGGATGTTAATAGATAAAACGGTCAACGACATATTACGTTATTTTCGGTTACAACCTCACGCCATATAATGGGATAAGATCTTTGTATTTTGGGGAATTTATTTGGCGGCGTTAGAAAATTAATTACTTCTGATTAATATATTACAAATAATTCATTTATTAAAAAAAATTGTTTTTAGTTCATGAGAAGATTTTTTTATACCGATGCAATTGATTTATCGGACAAAACTATAATTGATTAAATTAATTTTGCAAAGGAAAAGCAGCACATTCCACATTAACATTATATATTTTGTTATACATTACTATTTAATGTTGACATATAAGCACTTACTGAAGGAAACCTTCTAAAAATTAATTCTCTATCTATTTTGAGTTTTTACTTTC